GTTCCCAAAGGCCACCTCAGACCTGTGCCTGAACAGTTTCATGCCCACGTGATGTGAACATGATGGCAAACACAGCTCTGCTTGTGGGCTTGAACCCATGCTTGAAATGCAGCGCACACATAATCTTTATCCTCAAATTTATCCCTCCTTTTGAAGTTAGGGATTTTTTCTCTGTGCTTTGTGAAGTATCTAAAGAACTCCTGAGTACTATAAAAATATTAACTATTCTTAGGTTCTTTCATGCACACACTTTAGGATAGTTGCCAGTATTCATGTCTTCAGTTGCCTCTTACTCTCCACAAGATTGCTCAATCTTTGTCCTTGGGTACACAAATATTATTGCTGACCCACTTCTCCTGCATTACTGAAGGTTACTCAGGTTAGCAGAGATCATGACAAAGCCTTTTGCTAAATTGTGAAAACAAAGAAAGCTGCTCAGAAGTTTGCTTTCACCAGGAACTGCAAGTCTGTTTGGCTTGAAATTGTTGATTTGTTTGCAATATCTTGGGCTGGAAGAGTTTATGGCATGGAAGGCTGGACGCTGACTGACACCTGCTTGGATTCCTGCTCCTTTGTCAGAGACAACAGCTCCAGAAACAGTGGGATCTTCAAAGGCATGAGTGCAAAACGAATTCTGGCATTTCTTACATTTCAGGCGATGCAGCTATAAGGTTAAGGAATGTTGAATGACTTAATACCTTGAGAGTATGGAAGAAGTTTTTACCTTCTGGTTCAGTTACTGCAAGTCAGATGACTGAGTTACACTGGATGATGGACTTTACAGGAAAATGGTTTGGTTTTCAAAGGTCCTTAGTATTAGGAATTCACAGAGAGCCTCAAAGCAGCCACGGATACTAACAACTAGTAATGCTTTAACTAAAGGGCAGCAGCTGAAAAGAATGGACTCTTACCTTCGGAATTATCTAGGCATATTTAGATTTAAATGGCATGAAGGAAGGCTCACTAAGCTATGTGATTTGTTTTTGTTATTTGCTATAGGTTATAAAGAGATGGTACAAAACCGATCAAGAACAGAACAGCAATACCTTTCTGGTTTCCTCAGCATGCCACAAGTTTGTGAAAGTGCAAATCGAAACCTTTGTCAAAATTGTTCCAGCTCTAGCTCCCTTCCCAAGTGCCTGCCTTAACACCTGCATTTTATAGTAGCTTTAGATGACAAAATCAGCTTCAGAGTAATTCGAGCCAAAAGAACTAAAAATATCTTGGAACACTCTTTAATTCTGTTGACATTATCTCTAAAATCTGACGGTGGATAAAGCTGTGAAATGCTCCGAATGTAAACACCTGGTCATGATTAAGGATCTGGAAAGCACAGTGTCCTGTGTGAGTTTGCTATTGGGAGACTTCGGTGTGATTTACAAAACCTGCAAAGCCAAGGATAGGGTGATCTTGACAGTGAGTTGCTCAACCTGTTGTACATGTAGAGGCAGAGCCATAACATTATGCACAATGCACTACTACAGGCATTAATGCACCACTTAGAAAATGTACCCTGGAGACTTATTATATGATTAAATTGATACCTTAAAAATTCAGTGGCTTCCAGGAAGTATGTGCAGAATCTGGCCCCAAACTACTTCATCTTATATGCTTTGGAGCTGTGTCTAGCCAGGATATTTAGAGGCCATCAGCCACCACATTAACTGCCATTACTTGACAAGTGAAACAATCCTGTACTTACATCATATTCCCTTGGCCATTTTGTATGTTTTAGAGCCTTTAAGTTATCCACATTCTCCTGGGGTTTGCAGTGTGAGATCAGCTACTGATGCTCTGCAGCCCCATTGCAGCTGGAGTACTCTGCTCTCTCTTCTCCTTTGGCTGCTTCCTAGGATGATGGTCAGATTTCTACCAAGGATGATTGCTCAGGATTCTCCAAGCTTCTAATGACACTTGAAGGCAGTGGTTTTCAATATATTGTGATACTTTTTTAAGCTCTTAATTTTTAAGGGCTGCTGAAGACCTCTTTAGAAATTTCAACTATGTGGATTATTGCAGACCATATGTGAATTTACTGATTCTTAATAAACTTTCATAAGTCCCACAGGAATAAATGATGAGTACCAACAATCCACAAACCAAAAAACTTCTAAAATGTCCCAGGCAGAGTGTTTCTTCCAAGTGAGAGATGAAGCCATCTTATACCCTTATTTAGGCCTGAATATAATGTCCCATATCTCCAGAATTTCTCTCCTATGCTTGTTGCATCTTGCTATACAAATAATCTTTTACCATACCTTTCACATATCCACAATCCTTGGTTTTGTGTGTTGTTTGCTACCTTAGCAGCAGTAAAGTTCTGTTTAATCTGCCATGAAAATCTGGCATAACAATGAATCATTCTTACCATACAAGCTTTAGAAACTGCACCCCACAATAAATTCACGTTTTCAACTCCAGTCTTAGAATGCAGTGTTTCTGCACCTCCTGTAAACATGAAAAACTGCTCATAAATCATTTTAATGATGCCTTTTATTTATCACATTCCTTATACTTAACTAAATGTTTGTACCATTTGGTCTTCAAGTCATTAGAATTGTACAGTAGAAATGGAGTCAGAGCTATGGCCTCAGGACATTTACCAGCAGCAGCTGCAGAACCCTGACAACCAGCCTTAACCCATTCACCATCTGAAAATGTAAAATATCATGTGGTGAGGTCTAATAGGTTTTACACTCCACAAAGTAATAGCTCTCTGCTTAGGACCTATGTAAATTAAAAGGCCACTCTACAAGCTGTGAAATTTTTAACTTCTCAGTGCAAGGCGCTTTTTTTTTTTTTTTTTTTTTTTTTTTCCTGTCTGCATTACTTCCATGGCAGAACTAGCTTCTTAGCACGTATGGTCTAAACAGAAACACTAACAAAAGAGAAATGAGAAAGTTAGCTGGATTCCCAGTGCTTTCCAGCCCATGCCACACTAAATTTGATCCTGAGAAATTACAGCAATCTGCAAGATTTTTTTTAGCCCCAAACTTTAGAAATTGACATAAATTGACAAAAAAAAAAAAATGAGAATTACAAGGAAATTCATTGGAATACAACTTGTAAATCTTGGGTCTACCTGAGAGATGCAGGTAGAACAAAAGGGAGACTTTAGAAAAGTAAGGAAAACCTGTATTGGCTTGGCCAGGTGGGAATCAGTTTAGGGCATTTGAAATGAAGTAGTGGGTTTGGATTTTTCTAACAGGTGTTGGTTTTTACCTTTCCTACCACCTTTTCTTTCCTATAGCTTTTGAGAATTCATGCAGCTCAGTAATACTGTCAAGAGGAATGAAATGAAAGGTATTTGTTTTCTAGGTGGGAAAGGAAGCTGTATTTGTAGCTTTTGGAGCTGCCAAAGTAAAGAACTCTTAGAGGAAGAGAAAACAACCTTAAAAGTACTTTAGTTGCAGTGTTTATGGTCCCTGTAGAATTTCTTAATTTTCTTGTTTACTTGTCGTACTTTTCCCAGTTAGTGCCATTGCACTCTATTTCAGACTTTGCCACATGGTTTGTTTAGATTTCTGTGTCAAGGTTGTCTGTGAGGGATGGGCAGCATCCTCTTCTGCTTAGTCAGAGTGAAAGATGTTCAGCACCACTCAGAACCAGACTTCCCTATCTTTTTTATTTCCATTTTGCTATGTGTAAGAAATATATTAGAGGGATGCAGTTCTTAATATTATAAATTGATGCTATATATTGAAGCTGTGATAGAATCAAACACAACCTGCTGTACTGAGTTGCCCTGATTCTATTTATTTCACATAATAACAGTACAGCCAGCTATAATATTAAACATAATATTTTCTAGTAGAGGAATAAATAGGGCAGTAAGTGGAAAGTAAACATCTTCACCTTCTTAAGAACACTTAAGGACAGGAAAACGTGTTGTCAGAAATAATCTTTCAGTGTGCAAGAAACACACTAAGTAATGGTGATTTCCCAGCAAATTCCTATAATGACTCACCTATTGCAGAATCTTGCTGGTTGTTCAGCAGCAATTAAGCAGTAAATTGGTTTGTTGTTGCCAATTAACTGTCACTGTTTTGTTGTTGCCAATGCGAGAGCTGGACTCAAATTAAGACAGTGGCACTGAAGTCAAATAATAGAATCCTCAAATATAAAATGAATGGGAGGATTAATGTACAAGCAGAAAGATGGTACCAAAACAGTAAGAAACAATTTAATCTAAATGCCTTAAGATGGTGCAAGAAAGAATGCAAAAGACTTACATTCCAATACAGAAAACTTTACCCTTTGTACCAAAGTTTACTCAGATCCAGTTTATTCAGTTTTCAGCAAGTCCTCTCATGAAAGCACATAATGCATAGTTATAAACCTTTTCGAGATTGCTCCCTGAATTCTCATTACAGGACTGTACATTAAGTGCCAATACTGAGCTCTGTTCCAGAGGACAGTGAAGCCAGGGGAAAGCCTGCCAATGACTTCCACAAGATATAAATTAAGCTCAAAATGAGCTCCGAGTATCCTGATTATTCTTTATTGCTCTTGTTAGGTGTATTCCATGACTCCCACAAACATGTCATATTCTGAAATAAATGATAAATATTGAAATGTAAATAAAGCTTTAAGGACATAGTTGGCAGTCAAGGTTGTTTGACCAGAAAACAAAAAGCCAAGAGTCATGGTCTATGCTTAGCTTGGAAAATGGAAATTTACTGAGTGCAGTGACAATGCAAAGGTCTGGAAGAGTTTCACCATTGGGGTAAAATCGTGGGAGGAGAAAGCTTAATCACGGGAAATGAGTAACCATCTGGCCATATGCGGAGAGTTAAGAGGATGAAGGTTACAACTGCAGTTTGTGGAAGTCTACCAGTTATAGGGGGGTTTAAGCACTTAAATAAAAGCTGTGCCCTCACAGACCCCTAAGCTAAGGAAGGCTGCAGGGATTCCTCTCTGTCATTTATTGAAGAACTGACAGATAAAGGGCGATTTGGGGTTATTCCGTTGATTGACAACATCTGTTCTAATCCCTGCCAATACTTGAGAGCTGTATGCCTATACCAGTGAGTGAAAATAGATGATGGTGTTTAATACTTTTGAAAGGTGTGGGAGAGCCCGCACTGCTCCGCAGGCCTGCCTTGTCCCTGCCACCTGCCTGCCCTGCTGCCATTTTGTGCCCCTTCATCCTGCAAGTGGCAGCCTGTGGGGCTTGGCAGGGCAGTGAGGACAGCCCCGTGTGGGGCAGGAGGACCAGGAGCAGCTGGGTGGGATGTCTAGCATAGAGGGGCGACCCTTTTGGTGAGGCTGTCTGACTTTGGGGTGATTTTAAGCATCTTGTGCACCACGCACCCTGCACCTGTGGTGCTGCGGGGCAAGCAGGCAGCACACCAGGGGCACGGTGCAAGCTGTTTGGCAGACTTTCACACACGGATGGCGGCACTTAGCGCTTGGGGCATCGGGGACATTCATCAAACCCGCCTGAGGGGCAGGTTTCCTAACACCACATTTTCCTAACACCACACAGGCGGCAGGACTACAGCGCCCGGCGGCCCCTGCGCTCCGCCCCCACCTGCCCGCCTCTCGCCGCTCCCGCCCGCCGGCTCGCCTCAGGGGGAGCCTGAGGAGGGAGGGAGGGAGGAGGCGGCGGAGCCGGTGTCCTGCCCCGTCCCGTCCCCGCGTCCCCGCCGTGGCCGCTGATGAGGTGAAGATGGTGATCCGCGTCTTCGTCGCCTCCTCCTCGGGCTCGGTGGCGGTGAGTGGGGGGTGAGGGGGCTGAGGTGAAGCCGCCCCGTGGCTGGCGGGGGTCGCTGCCCAGCGGGAGACCCCAAAACGGCCCCGGGTGTCCACAGGCGGCTGGGATCCGGGGCTGGATGTGCCCGGGCTGAGGGGAGTCTTGGGGAAAAAAAAAAAAGAAGTGCGTTTTGGGGGAAAAACAGGCTCACCCCCATCCCCGAGGGGCTGCCGGAGTTGTTTGTAAAGCGCCTCGGGGCAAGTCCTGAGGAGGGCTCGTCCTGGGGACATGTGTGGGGCTGGCTGGAGGGTTTTTAAGCCCTTAAAACCGGGCTGAGCTCCCCCACATGTGGGGGACCCCGGTGCGGGCAGAGGCAAATGCAATAAATGAGAGCCTGGAGACGAGCCTCGCCTCCCTGAATGCCCACTTGCTCTGGAAAAGGTACAGCTCCTGTCAGACTCGGCTTGGAGAAGCATCACCGTGTCCCTCTGCCTAAATGAAGCTCCTCTTGGTGCATTAATTCTGTGTGTGACCCGTGAGTTTCCATATTTTTCATAGAAAATTGACAGCGCTCGGTTCCGTGAAGGCAGTCCGAGTGTAAGCGTTCAGCTGAAGTTGTTCTCTAATGAGAGCCATCAGAAGGATTTAGATGTAATTGCTGTTCTGTATGGTTCAGCAGCGTTTCGTGTTGTGGAAGGACGTGGCACTTTTCCCATCCAAAGGTTTAATGTGTGTGTTCGCTTCATTCAGTCTCTTACCCCCTGGTATTTGCTTTCAGTTCAGCGGCACGGTGACAGGTATGTGCGCTGATATGTTTTGGCATGAAGCGTTCAAGATGCTCAGTAGCTGCGTTACAGCTAATAAAAATTAATTACCCATTTCAGTAGCCAGCTGAGTAGACACCGAGCGTCCTCAGGACTCTGCAGTCCGTGTGCATCAGGCAGCCGGCACAGAAACCTCTCCTTGCCTGCGCTGGCAGTTGGGTTTGTTGTGGCACTCTGGTATAGCGAGGTTTAGTTTCTGTTTCAAACAATACTCTTTAGTTTTATATTTTGATTTTCTTGGGGGTGGAGGAGAAGGACCACATAATTAGATCACCATATCTCCTCTTTTGACCAGCCTGCAAATAGGTTATTGATTGGAGTTTTTGATTCTGCCCTTTCCTTCTCCTGCCTCTGCCTGCAAGGTAAATACCCGGTTAGCAGCACCATAAATTCTTCTTCACTGTCTATTAACCCAACAAACCAAATCTGAGGTTGAAAAGCAATTTAGTTTGCATGCTGGTTCATCTGCTACCTTTTTTTTTTTTTCCTGGGTCTGACAAGAAGATGACATCTACCAGGAATAACAGTTTGCATACTGGTGATAATCAACATTTTTTGCATAGTCAGCAGTACATCTGAGTATGATCTAGCCAGGGAAGAATAGTTAATTGAATGGCTGAAGGTACTCCTACCCAGGACCAGAGCTGTCACATCTCTTCACTGTCTGCTTTTCTTCATCTGTGTTATCTTAGCATTTAGGAATCTTCATCATGCACTAAGTTCCTGCTGTGCTCAGTGTTGGGCTTTTTTTTTCCTGTGGGCTTTGTGGGGGTGTCTGTAGATCATGGCTAAGTGATTGAGGAAAATCAGAAACTATTATCAGACGGTTATGTGGGAATCCTTGTCTGGAGAAAAGGGCAGTAACTGTATTTGCACATCTCTAAGCAGGGAAATTTAAAGCTTATTTTCATCCTCCTGAGCATAAGAACAATAACTAAGCATCAGTGAAGGAAAATAAAAAGTGATTGAGTTGTGCAATTCTTTGTCTTCTACTCCAGGCTTCTGTAGAACAACATCAGATTATCAGATACTTTTTGGGTTGCAGTTCATGAGACAGGATGATTTCCCTGTCTAGAGAAATAAGTAGCCCTCATAGATACTGCTCTGTGTTCTGTCTAGCTGTAACGTTCCTGAGAAATACACTGATTGTGTAGTCAGCAAAGATCTCAGTTTCTGTAAGTATAACTGTCCCTGGAAACTTCTAAAATATTTATTGATCCCGTGTCATGGTGCAATTTGTTTTATGCTAAAGAATATCAAAATACATGCTAGCTATACAAAATTCGAAGCGTTTTGGGAGTAATTTGGAGAATGAGAAATAGAAGTTAACAGAGTGGATGAGGAGCAGCCAAGAACAACGTGAACTTTCTGTCCAGTTGGGACAAGACGCTTCCTTGCAACATCTTCCACACCTCTGAAGGTTTGTAGACCACTGAGAGGTTAATAGTAGTATTCTTTATTTTTAATAAAACTTGTAAATATTAATGCCTCGTGAGCTTAAAAGAGCCCATGGCAACGAAACCTAGTTGTTGCTTGAGTGGAAACATTCCTCTGCGGTGCTTACTGAAGCTGGCCTGTGGGTTTACGCTGTAGGGATGCTGTAGGCAAGTTCCTGAGTCAGGAGAGGCATTGTGTTTATGTGTACATTTCTAAATAACATCGCGTTGTTTTAAGCACGCATCAGACAGATGCAATTGAATCACAATGGGAAGCCTCTGAATAGGCAGGCAAGGCATGTTTTCACAAGCCTTTCCATCTTCTACTTTTTCTGACCTGAATTTCTATTTGTTGCTGGTGAGCTGTCTCAAATTCCAAGCACTTTGTAGGCTGGGGAGGCAGGCTTTGCTACTCCTCCTTAATAAAGACAAATGGTCTTTTCTTTTGTGCTGAGGAGAAAGGCTACTTTAAAATTAGCCTTTACCTTTCTCCCTCAACAGTGCTTCACTGTTTTCAGGAAATAGTTTCTTTGTTTTTCACCAAACCATTCCAAGGTAACTGTAATTCAATCCACTTCACGTTTTCCAGTGTATCAATAAAAATCTGTTCTTTCCCTTGTGCTGCTGTAATATGTATTGACTCAATTAAATGGTTTTCATTGTTTTCAAGCTAGATTTACCTTAGACAGGAAGCTGGTAGTACTAGCTAAGTAACTTTTTGCTGGAATTCCTACAACTAGCTGGAAATACCTAACCAGAGGGACTTCTGACCTCTGGCACTCAGAGGACTGAAGATCAGGTAAAGGAAATGTCATTGAAGAGCTTTCAGATAATGAAGAAACTTTGAACAACTGTTTCACTTGTACTTTTTTCCTGTCTAGTAATAATTTATTGCCTTGGAGCTTCCTCTGTTAAGCTGGGCAGGTACATAGGGAAGTTACTGAAGAACAGGGGGTAGAATCTGCTCTGACTAGTGAGAGATGCAGAACTTTCCCATGGAAATTTTAGTGTGTTCATAAGATGTGAAAAACATAACTGAAATCAATTCAGTTTAATGTACAAGAGCAAGCATTGCTCAGGCATAGACTTCTTGAGAATGTGTTTGGGAAGGAACAGCATGGATCTGAAAAGAATAGACTTCTTTTAAAAGATCAGAAGTTGAAAACTGATTCTTGCTAATGAAGACAATAATGTGGTTTTTTTTTTTTTTTTCTAGGAAGCTTGATAAGATAGGTATAATTATAGTGAAGTTGTTTCTATAGCAAATATTGGTTTTGTGAGACTAAAGCTTTGCTTTTTTAAAGCATATTATGCAGGTCAATGTATAAGTGCAAACACTTTGGAATTTTTGCTTCCTGGAATTACTTTAAACCATGGTATAAAACATCAGAATGCCAGAGCAATCACAGTTGTGTTTATTTGGTTGGATAATATAATTGAAGGCAAATAAAATGCTAATGTCCTTTTGGCTAAGCTTGTCTCCTGGTGATAAGCACAACTTTCATCCCCACCTTTGTTTGTATAGGCTTGAGAAACTCAGAGTTTCTCAGTGCTGCTTGGGAAGAATGTGCTTCTTGTTGAGAGGCGTGGAAGAATTAACTTAGAATGTGTTGATTTTAGAGTATCCACCAGCTAGCAGATTTTTTTGCCTCTCTGCACCCCAAAGCAACAACAGTCAAAACTGGAAGTGGTTGAGCTGTACAAACGCTTTTTGTGAAAATTGTGTTGGTTCTGGCAGTCGCTTGAAGGGATCTTCAGCTTGTTGCATGTGACTTAGCGAAATTCAGCTACCTATGACATAAAACATTAAACTTTGCAAGTTATAAACCGTATCATGAATTTTTAATATTGGAAGTTTGTGAAACCAGATGACAGCAGCAGGCAAGGTAACTTTTCAGAAGTAAAACATAATCCTTACAATTAGAAGCAAACCTGCAATATTTACATTTAAAATATTGCTTTTTCCCATGTATCAGCACAGCATTGTCTTGCATCTGTCCGCATGCTCCGAATGCACCTGTTGGATTGGATCCTAAGGTTGGATTTATGGATTGTGGTCGTTGTACTGTGTCGCTTCACTCGATCAAAGTGATGGTGCTTTTGATTATGCACCTGCAGAGTAGTGCTGTAGCAAAAGCAGTGAGACCAGAAGGAAAAATGGACACCTCCAGATTCTTGCTTGGTCACAGGATGCATCAGGGATCTCGTGGATTTGTGGGCTTGACCTTAGCAGTTGTATCCTGCCCATAGGAGAGGGTGAGGGATTTTCTGGGTCTAGTCCCTTTGAGCGACAGAATGCGTTCCTGCATCATTTCTCAGTTTTCCTCTTGCCGAGTGGTTCACATTCAGCTTGGCTGGTTTCTGCCTGTCCTGACAGCAGGGTTTGTATGGCAGAGGGAGCCTGAGAGCCCCGGTCATGGCTGAATTCTGCAACAGGGAGCTCAGCACTGAAGGCTTTGTCTCTTTTTCTCCCTAAGGACCCCCTGTGGATCTAGCTCAGATCTGAGTTCTAGGTACATCCTGAGAACTGAGAGCCTCCAAACAATGGCTCAGAGAGCTCGAGGAATATGTGTGTTCATCAGGGAGCCCGGCAAGAACCTGGGCACAAGAATACAGGTGGAATTCAAACAATCTGCACACAGTATTCAGTACCTAACAGTTGCGCCACTCCTGTGTGCTCGAGTGCTTCTCAAATATTTACCTTTCTTCTTGGCAGATAGATCGTGTCAGAAACAATGCTACCTTGTACAACACCCTTTGG